GGTGTTAAGAGCAAATACGGCCTCCGCAGCGACATTTGGAAGGAAGCAGGAAGCGAATACATACATACATACAGGCACACTCTAGAGCTTCCCTGCAGTGAAATTTTGAGACACAGCGCTAGTTCCGCCCTACAAATTTCAGAGCTATCTCTGAACTAGTGCAAAACGGCTGCAGAGAGGGGCAGTTGAAAGTTGCGGTGTGCTAGTTGCGCCTGGGAAGAGCCAGTCCATTTTCAAGCTGTCCCTTTTCAAGCTAGTTCGGCGCTAGTTCTGAACCAGTTTGAATTGCCTAAGGGTTCCTTATGTTTAAGTAAAGGCATGTGCATGTGCGTGCATGTATGGGAGTGTGTTTGAATCTGTTTATGTATGTATTAAGTATGGCAACAGTCATAACCCTACAGAAAAAAATTATCAATTGATAAAAAATAACCTACTTGTAGTTAGCTTCTTTGCGGGATTTCTATAAAATATATAACCTGTAGTTAGCTACAAAAAGCTAACTTGAAACAAGTGGACAAGTAATGCAGGAGTAAAGCTCGAGATTGTTTTCTATTTAAATATCTTGCACTTCGCAAATACTTTTTCGAATTGAGGACAAATAAAAGGAAGATCGAAATTTCATATCATCATTTTGAAGTTATGTCTGGCGAAGTTCGAATATGGAACCACCTACAGCAGAATATGGTAACAAATATGAAATGTAATAAAATAAATAAAGTAAATAAAAATAAAAATAAAATATTTCGTTTTTCCTATTGATATTTTATGTCCAAAAGTAGTTAGTTACAAGTTAGTTACATCAAATGCAGAGGTAGCCACCCTTGACTACATCTAATGCAGAGGTAAACCACCCTTGACTATTTCGCGGCCATCGCCATACAAATATAGTTAGCTTTCGTCGAAGAAAATATACAGATAATAAGTGACTTTTATCTCCTTCCTAATCAACTTGAAGTTAGCTTATAGTTAGATACATTTCCTGCAGGGAAGTACGCGCACGCGAGCCCAAGCTGTCAACTTCAGTTAATGTTCGAGCGACACACGCGCGAATGCAAAAAAAAAACAGTACTGCAGCGTTAGAGGGTAATGAGGAGGGAAAGCAGCGACAAGGTCTGCCGGGTATGAGTGAAATGCGTGATGTGCGGATGGCTGTCTTGCAAGCTGACCAAATTTGAATGGCAATAAATAAATACGCATAAATATTGTCGATGGGGTGCGTCTCACACGCTGGGCGCTGAGCTACTTAACCTACACAACTGTGGACAGCCACTGTTAGCGCTTTCCTTAAACCAGCACTACCCCCATTGTTCATTGTAAGCACTTCATATTACAAATAATTGTCATCTCTGACTGCAGACTGAGTGAACAGCATACACACACACACACACCGACTAATTCAACTTGTTATCAAATCGCGTTGCTTTGTTGTCTTTTGTTCTAACGCACTGATGAAGCTTACGCAGCCTGCCTTCCTATAAAAGCAGTCCTACAGCAGAGCGCCTCCTCCCAGCTGCCACATCCGGCATCGTAGATGAAATAGTCGTTTGACTTGCGAGCTGGTGCGACGCTGCCGACGTAATCTTCTTCGGTTGAATTGTCTTCGGCAAGTGTGGCCACTACTTTTGTTAGCTTGAAAGGTCCCTTGTGAAAAATGACAGCAATTACACTGAAATTATGCATTGTTGAGCTTATTTTCTCGAGCAACAAAGGCTCAATAAATGAATGACGACATGAAAGAACGGTAAGGCGAAAACAAGAAGCAGAGGGAGAAGAAAGAGGTTTCAAATACAAAGGAGAATTCACTGCTAACCCGAAACGATGCTGGTTGCCAAAGTAAGTAAATTTAATTTGGTCCTTCTACAATTACCACCAAGTAATGAACTCAACGATTGCCACAAAGCCTTTGCGCTAGCTTTAGGCGCATTCAATGTCACTGGCAAACATAGGTCTGCCTTTTGTTGTTTGCCGAGCAGAGTAGATGGCAACCGGAAGATGGGCTTTCTAAGAAACTGTCTACCGTTTGGTATATCATTTTTGAATCGAAGCAAGAATTAAGCTACATAAGTATGCATGCATACAAACATACATAAATAAAAGCCATTGTATTTAGTTTAAATGTTGCCGCCGCTTTGCTGAAGCATTGGCCATGAGTTTTATTTTTCTCTCAGCCCTTCAACCCCCAAACTTGCTTACACCCAACACAATGCCTCAGTGGATACGCCACACAAAAGTCTCCGCAATAAAAACTGAGCGCCGACGAGAGTGCACGCCTAAAAGTAGGCAACGAAGGCAAAGCCGAACAAGTGACCCAGTGCCACGCGGCGTGAGCGCAAGCCAGACGTACAGAGCAAACCAACGAAAGTGCGTGAGCCATGAAAGTAGGCTCGGACGTGTGCGTGTGATTTCCAACTGTGGCTGTAGTTGTTGCTGTTACTTTCAGTTCGAAGCGCTGTCAAGTGGCCAGCATCAGCTGTCAAAAGTTAAGCGCTGGTGCACACGAGTTGTGCTGATAGCAGCACTCTAATAATGTCGAGTAACGGTGGTAAGCGGAGCGCTGCGTACAGGGAGCGCCAAAGTGCCAGCACTGAGCGTGTGAGCGCAAAATCGCCGAAAAGACGGCTACTCGCTCGTCGCTGCTTTTGTAGAGTTTTGCACATTTTTTAGTTTTGTTTTGCCGTTTCCCTGCCTCCTGTTCGCTTTCCTTCGTTTCCGCACTTTTTTTTTGTTGCTAACTTTTGCTTTCATTTCATATCAGCCAGCCACCCGCGCTGTCCTCTGCCAACACATGCGCACTCGCTCGATTCAAGGATGCGAACAAATACGCCGCACTCGTACGTGCCACACACGCTCGTAATTGTTGAACAACAGCGAAAAGCTGGCGTGTGTGTGGCAAATGCAGCCGCCACGGCAGCATACACACAGCTGACAGCGCAGCGGGCGCGAGTTACGGCACAGATCCAGCAGAGAAGCAGACGCCGAGCAGTGTTTTGAAGGCAGCATCGGCTTAGAAAATTGGGTCGTAGCTTTTGGTGACTGCTGCTGCTGATGCTTCGCAAGCAAAATGGCCAATGAATGGCAGAAAAAATTAGCCAACATTTAAGAAGTTTGAAGAAGTTTAAGGAATTGTAAGGGTGCGAAAAAGTATTAATAGTTTGGAGAATTATGTGCGAAAATATTTGAACGATATGTGGATTAATTAATTGGAATTAAAAAACAAATAATGGAGCGGAAAAAATTTGTAAAAAGTCGAGCTTTGTTCTTCGCTTAAATAAACTGCTTTCAAAGGTGATTCGAAGCCTGCAAAGACCTGGTAAAGTTTCAGAGTACTCAGGTACTACTGATTAGGGGAGTCCAAATCTACCTGCCTCGTAAGCAGAATTTGGTCTGATGAACTGGATTATTGGAATTTCAATGTACGATCCACAAGCAGTAAAATTCCGCCTTTGGCGAAAATTATCGCGGAATAAGCCTTCTTAACCGCTTAAGAGGTCCTACCGACGATACTGTGTAAAAGACTGAAGCTCTTCTCGAACCAAGTGACCTGGTAAGTCCACCATTGACCACATTTTTACAGCCCGCAAAATCCTGGAGAAGACACTAGAAAGAGAGAGGTTTTATACAAAACGATTCGCTCTCGTGCGACTTTTTCAATTCTGAATTCTGAATCTCAGTGGCACCACATATAGTAAAGAACGTTGCTGCTGGTGTATGCAGATGATATCGTCATCGTCAGCGTGAAACGCAGCATTTTTCAAACTAAAAGGGTTGGTCTGGCGGTGAACGAGGACAAGACAAAGTACCTACACGCAACAAATAAAGAGTCCACGAGTTTTGGGACACACGTCAGTTATAACTTCGAAGTAGCGAAGGACTTTGTCTACCTAGGATCCAGCATAAGCACCACCATTAAAGTCAGTGTGGAGATAATTCGAAGAATAACTCTTGTCAACTTGTGTTACTTTGGGCTCGGTAGGCAATTGAAAAGCAGAGCCAAATAAAAATCGCGCTGTATAAGTCTATCATCATGCCCGTTCTTTTCTACGGCGCAGAAAAGGTTTTGGGTCCTTTCGAGAGAACTGATGGATTGGTTGTAGTGCTATCCAAGTTGACACTCAAAAATCAATTTGAGCACAAATGCACCCTTTTGGGGCACTTCTCGTGCGCAATGATATTTTATTCTACCGCAGCCCACCTATCAGATCATTCCTACAGTTTGGTCAATCCATTTATAACCGCTTATGAATTTGTATATGTCGCCTATTGTAGCACTACATAGATAAATCCGCTAACTGCTTCATTATGTCATTCCCGAGTTTGAAGAAGAGTCTATGGAACACTTAATCACCAACTGTGAAGCAGTGGTTCTGTGGTTCATACCTACTAGAAGATGAGGACCTTCAAAGGCTTCCACCAAAGGAGCTGGTTAAATTCCTCAGTATACTAAATACACAGGTACGAAGAACACAGAACTTCAGCCTGAAATATGCTAGCAAGGTTTGCCAACCGAGGGGACCGATTGACACCAATCACCTCGGAATATACCTCAGTCCCTACACCGCAGTCCATCTTGGACCCGTCATTGTATATACATATGGCTTCCTTATGGGCAACTTGGCCCTTTCTCTATTCCCTTCTAGATGGAAACCGCACCTGTACATTCATCGTGAAATCAAGGTTTGATACCAGCAAGTTTCCAGTTTAATTTAGTATCTGGAATTACTCCCATTCGCATTGGACGATAGCGGGATTGTCTTTCCGCCTATGGATGGAAGTCTAAATTGGGGTATCTTATTTCTATTAGTAAAGAGTAACAACTCAGTTTTGCTTGGGGTTACGTTAAGGCCACTGCCTTTGGCCCACGTATGTAGTCTATCCAGTGCCCTCTCTAGGATTTCACTTAGTTACAGTAGCAAAAATGGCCTTGTGGACCAACAGCAGTGGAGAGAGTACACTGCCCTGAAGAGTACTTGAATAATTTTGCTTCCCAGCATGGATCCTACCCAACCAACCATACCGCCGTCAACATCAACCCCTATGAGTGATTGGATAAGGGTGTCTACTTCAATATTGTTGAAGGCGCCTTCAATATCCAGGAATGCGGCTAAAGTGTTTTGCTTGAAGTGCAGTGGTTTTTCTATGAACCCCACAATTTCATGTAAGGCTGACTCCGTCGATTTTCCTTTGATGTTGCGCTGTGGATAGGGATTCTTCCCTAAAGAACGATCTTACATATTAAGAACAAAAGAATTCAGGCTAAGAGGACTAAAGTCTTTCGCTATTTCGTGGTTCTTTCTACCAGGCTTTGAGATGAACCCTATTTTGACAATCCAGCCCTGGGGAAGCAAAGACGCCCACGAACGGAGTCGAGGCCGGATTAATCGGGGTTCCAGTAAGTTGTATGCTACTACACAAGATTAACCCAAAAAATGATTCTTGTTGGCTGATGACCTGCACAAATTACTTCTTATATCGGTTGAGAATTCAATGCTTGTGTTAAACGGGCGAATAAAGTATGTAATAGCGCAAGCTGCTAGAGCATCTATTGTTGCATACCTTTAGGCACACTACCTACTTCATTTTCAGTCATCCACTTCAACCTTTCTCTTTTTCCGTTTCTACAATTCCAAAGCCTCCCATTCCCTGTGCTTTGCAAATTTAACACTTTATTATTCATTCATTCATTTGTATTCATGAGTTGTCATAAGCTTGATAGCCATCCTCTCTACACAGCGGGCCACAATATTTGCAAGCCTCCAATCAATTCACAGATCAGTCATTTTCACCTTTCAATTTTCACTCAATTACAATTGTTAATTTAAACAGTTATGCCTGTCTCTAATCCCTAAACCCAAATCTCTCCATTACACTGCCAATTGCGCTGCTGCAACAATCAACTCCATCTAGCCACTCACGGCCTTCCCTGTCCCGCCGGCTGGCGCTGAAGGTCACTTGAAGTCAAACATTTATTGGCCATTTGTGTGCAAAATGCAAAACTTCGATAATTTGGGTTGGCGCAGCTTTCAATCGTTCATCCGAACGCCTGGCTGACCGTTGGACGACAATTGTATGCAGCCGATTACGATTACGGTTGACGAGCAAAAGAACATGCAAACACAAATACATACATACATACTTACATACATACGTGCAAGTAGGAGCGGACAGAAGCGAACAATGAAATTTGAATCATGTTGGCATGTGTGTAAATGGATGTTGCTGATAGGATAGTTTGTGCGTATGTACGTGGTGCTTAGATATGCCTACAAACCATACATATAAATAGCACAGGAACAATACAATGACACTGTGAATGACCCCGACCGAGTATCCGTTGCGAGTCAGCAGAGCTGAGGGCAAACTAACGTTGAATTTGTGCTGACAGCAACAACAACAAAAAAGCAATGGCAATAGTAGAACAAGCAAGCAACAATAAATAGCAGTAGCAACAATAACAATGCGGCGATCGAAAGTGTTTTGTTGGGCGGGCTTTGGATTTAGCTCCGGCCTGCTCGTATTGAAAAGCGGCCGCTGGTTGGTGGCTGTACGCCTAAAAGCAGGCTAATAACTATTGTGTGTGTGCAGGCAAGCGCACTAATTTATATAATATTTAAATGTGAGAGTATGTGTGCGTAAAAGTGTGCTTTCTGTGCCGCTGGGGAAAAATGTCTACAATTTTCAATTGTTGGTTTGAGAACTGTAGGATGCGTTGGGTAGCACAGACAAAAGGATTGAATGGATTGGAAAAAAATAACTGTTACTTAAATGCTTCTTTTCAATGCGTGATTTTTTTTTTCAATTTGCTCGATAGATTTATCGATAAATATACTTAGTACAGCCACGTAAAAAATGATAAACACACGACATTTTGGCCAGTTTTGACTATTTTTAACCGACTTCCAAAACAGGAGGAGGTTATCAGTTCGTCGGAATATTTTTTTTTGTTTTAATGTATGTTACCGCATAACCTTGGACCGCGTCCACCGATTTCGATAATTTGCAACGGAAAGGTAGTGTCGCAGAGGTGGTCCCATACTAACTTGGTTTAGATCCGATCATTGAATCATGAAATATATAGATATACATATATATATTTTTTTAAGTCGGTTTTTTTTGCTAAAAATTACTTGTTCTTTTGTTAGTTGTTGTATGTTTATAATTCTTATATGAAAATGCAGCTCATTATCTAATCTTTATAAATTCTTAGAATGGTATTATTTTCAACGCGGAAAAAAATCTAACATACTTTGTATGGACGAAAATGCGTCAGCACAAAAGATTAGCACTTAGATTTTTTTTTATTCTTAATAAAAAAGTTTGTTGTTTGAAATTTATGCTTACACGGTTTTTGTTTCATAATTAGCTGCATATATAAGAAAACAATAAACATTAAAACAACAAAAGAAAAATTGCCAGAACTGGTCAAAATGTCATGTCCCTATTATTTTAAACATTTTTAATTTACCAAAAAATCGATACCATATCGATATAAAAACAGAAATTATCGAAAACTGTATACATTTTTGATAGAAAGTGGTATAAATTTCTTATAAAACTATCGATAAGTCGATATAGGATCGATATCAAGTCAGAAATTTACAAAAAAGTTTGGTACGTCTTTGCATCGATATTAACATCGGAATTATCGATAATTTTATCGGAATTTTAATCGATTTAGATACCTTCCATAAAAAGGTACACCAAAACTGCAAGTAAATTTCGTATTCAGATGGCGAAAAAAAGTTATGAAAACACGAAACGGTGGAGAGAAGAACTGAAAACAAATGAAAAATTAAATTATATACACTAGGCTACAAATGAAAGTGTACACTAGAGTGGTTTAAGAAATCCTTTTTTTAATATTATTCAGCGCTCACGCAAATGTGTGTTACTTTTGCAAAAAAAAAAAATAAGAAATAAGCAACTTTTAAATTAAAATTTCGGAATTTTTTCGCGTTTTTTTAATATTGTTTTGTAATATCTAAAAAGGTAAGAGCCTTATCGAAAAAATAACTTTCCTATTATAAGATCTTACAAAACTTAAATTTCCTGAGGGATTTCGCGTGTACACGGATTGAAGGACGAGTAATTTTAAGTAAAATAAAAATGGATTTGAGCGAACTCTAAATTTTATAATTTTTTTTTAATCAAGTTGTTTATTTAATTTTTTGCAAAAGGAACACAAATTTGCGTGAGCACAGAATAATATTAAAAAAAAGGGATTTCTTGGACCACTCTAGTGTAATACAATATTGATAGT